AAATTGTAAATGTGATGAAAGAAGTACTAAACCTTATCAAAATCGGAGAGTTAAATAGCTTACAATTAGAAGAGCTTGAGATGTTGAGTTGTGCAGTACAGCAGCACTGTGCTAGTCCTTTCCCTACGGACTGCAGAGGGCAACTGAGAGCAGCACTGACCTCAGTGAAGCAATTATGCTGACTAAATGCTGAACGATGGGAAAGAAGGGCTGAAGTTAACATGTCCACGATTCCTTCTCCTGAGGAGGAAGTGCCTGCTATGAACAAGTCAGGGAATGTCAGCCATCCCTGCACGCTCGTGGCTCTCGGCTGTCAGCCCCAGACTGGTGCCCTGGCTGCCGTGCAGCTGCTCCGCTCACTGGCAATGCGGGTTGGCCAGCAGCTCGCACCGCCTTCTGAAATTTCTCCTGTGCATCAGAGACAGATGAGTGTTTTGGCAACATCCCAGGAGAAGCACTGAGCGACTCGGATGGGCGCAGAAGCTGCAGGATGTGTGCCCCAGCACCAAGAAAGAACCGTGCCCAGGGCTGCAGTGAGACAGCCTGGCTGCGCGGCGGTGGCGAGGATGTGAGAGCTGCTGAGAGAGACAGAGCCTGAATGGGCCGAGCACAAAGTTACAGGCGCTCAGAGGAGGGCCGTGCGGCTGAGCCTGCGAGCAGCAATCCTGTTGCCATGAAAAATACATTGGCTACAAAAGTTAATTTCTAGTTGGCTTTTATTTGGAAAGCGTACAAAGCCTCTTCCTTACCCTGCTGCAGGGACTGTGGCACTGTTGTGTGCAGTTCTCATAGCCAGCAGTTTTCTCGTCTGCTGGCTTATCCAGTTACTTCCTGATTAAAGCATCCCGACTGTTTCACTTTGTGAAAATATTGATGACAGCTTTGCAAAACAATACAGGAAAAGTTACAGAAAAAAAAAGTGTTTGAAATCATCCTTTTTAGCAGTTGTTCTTTTTTTTTTTTTTTTTTTCCTTAATATCTTGGCCTTTAATTGAGGCTAAGGACATTTTACACTGTATACCTAAGTGTGCTTTTCTACCTCGCAGCATCGATACTCTGCTCAGCTTACTCCATACTGATTTCCCATATCACTGCAATATAATACTGGCATTTGCTTGTGTTCCCATGTTGGCAACCTGTGTGCAGTTGTGATTTTGTGATGGCTTGTGATGTTATCCTCAGAGCACGTTCTCTGGGCAGAACAGTGTGCACCACTAGCAGGTGATGAGTTATTTGCAACCTCCCCAGCACCATCGCTGCAGGACAGAATGAAATCTTCCTTCCAAGAGAATGACTTTGTGCTTCAATTAGCTCAAATATTTATAGCAGTCAGTCTGCTGCGATGTTTATCTCTGTCATTATCATTAGCATGTAATGAATGTCGTCTTAGGATCTTGCAGCAGCATCTTTTGGCCCTACAGTTCCTGTTATCACAGGACAGTGTTTGGGTTTCTGAGTGAATTCGGCTGGGTTTATTGTGTGAATTTCACAACTCATCCAGACCCAACCATGTTTCTGCATTAGAATGCCCAGTGTGCATTTAAAAGAAATTGATGCTTCAGTGAATGAAACGACTCAAGTCTTTTGCTTCGCTGAGTCAAATGACTCCAATGGAGTTTGCACAATTGGAGATTAGAGACTTCAAGTAAGAAGTTATATTCCTGTGTGATGCTGTCTGCAATATGAGCTTTGCCAATTTCAGCTGATGGGCATGGAAATGTTTTTTTTCCTAAATTAAGTCTATGTCCTCGTCTCTGCTGTGATACATTTATGGATTTTTTTTCATGAGTTCTTCACAAAAAAAAGGCCTGCTCAGAAAAGCTTACCTCCAGCCATAAAGGACGCAAAAAGCTTGAGCCTTAGTATATTTTAAGTCCTGGGGGGAGTTGTCATCAGGTTTGGAACACGATGACCTTAAAGGTCCCTGCCAACCCAAACCTATGTTTATGATTACTTGGATTTTTTATGGTATTTTAATTAACAGTAGAGTTGGCAATTATATCATAATTAGACTTGCTTGTGTAATCATCCGAGCTGTGCTACTTCCATAAAACCTAATCAGGTGTGTCTAAAACTGGAACACAGTAGAGGTCTTTCAGATCACCTCACTGCAGGCACTCGCTGCTGACTGTTGCGGGGCACCCTAAATACTGGTACCTGTCATCTCAATACCAATTATTTCTGATGGTAAAAGTCTCCTTCATGTGGATTACATGAAAAATACAAGCAGCAGGATATTTGGTGAGGTGATTTCCAGCTGGTTCCTTAAGGCATTTGTGAGTGCATTTCTCCTGACTGGGAGAGTGAAATGAATGATCTCCCTGTGCACCAAGTAATCATGCACTATGAGAAGAGATAGATCTCCTTTAGGACTAAATGCAAAAATCTGTGGCTTACATAGATGGCTCATAATCAAGTCACAGTTCATTCATTGTGTCCTAAATAAATCAGGCAATCAAGTAAATCCAGAATCAGCTGGTGCACCTCCAGAATGGGTAGAGATGCAGGAAACTGAGATCATCACGTCCCATGAAATGCTGACTGTTGAGAATTTTCCCTCTGCCCAAAAATCATTCGTCATATGTGAGTGCTTAACATGGGAACAAAATACATAATCCCGCACTTCTATTTATACAGATCCTATTTAAAGCTGTCATTCATCCAGAGAGGTTGAAGAGGATTTATCTAATTCTAAATATTGCGTACGATTATTATCTCAAACAGTGAAACAGGAAAAAGGCCGTTCATCAACTGCCACGAAGCCATTCAGCTTGGATCTGCCCACCTTGCTGATGTTGTTAAACGTTCCCACCTCAGGAGCAAAGAAAGAACATTTTAAAAACTTTTGGCTATGTTAACCTGTAGCAGCCTCTTCTCACACAAGACTGTAAGAGCTGGAAAGGAAATTCTGCTGTAGCCCAACTGCAACGTCTGTCCTGCTTGGCTGTTTACCAGTTATGCACTTTGACAATTAAACTTGTAAAGAACGCAAAGCAAAACAACTCTCAGCTGTTCTTTACCAAACTTTTCCCTTGAAACAAGGAAACTTCTGAGAGTATTTGAATGAGACTGAAAATGCCCCACATCTGAAAACGTGCTTGAAGCAAAGCCTACCGACTCAACTAACCGCACAGAACAGAACATGGCACTGAAAATGTTAAAAGTCTCCATGTATTTTTTTGCAGACTTGGCTGCCATGCATTTCTCTTTGCTACAGTGATTACCTGCTAAAGCTAACTGGTTTTAAGCCAGTGCACAAGATATGCTGGCAGCTAACAAATCTGACCGTCAGTCGGTTTGGTGCCGTAGCTCAGAAGCTCTTTTGCAAGGAGCACTGACCGGCCATCGGGGCAGACGGACTGAGATGCAGTTCTCCTCAAGCAAAAGGCATGAAAACGCCCGAGCGATGAACAGGGGTCTCAGCAGCATAGTTTGGAAAGTCCGTGCTGTGAGAAGGTACGAAGGGCTGTGAAAGCTGTTTGAAGCTTGCTCGCCCTGCTCGTCCCGTGCGTGCTAAAATCCTCCACTTCGCGACCGCCATCTAGAGCCGGCCTGTCTGCACACCGTTACTTTCCTAACGCCGAAACGCTTTTGCTTCCCCGTGAAGCTAGAACAGAAAAATCACTTCCTGCGCTTCGCAAGCAACGTGTAAACAGGATCCCAAGGAAGAAGTCCTTTCCCAAGACTTGTGTATCTGCCACCCGCCCTTACGCACAGCCTCCATCCGAGCCGCGCTGCGCCTCTGCGCCGCTCCGCCGCTGGGTGTTACGCCCCCTGGTGGCCACTCGCTCTAACTGCAGAAAGCTGCGCCCGTCAGAGGAGCGGGCAGCGAGGCGAGTGAGGGCGGCGGGCAGCTCCGAGCAGGCGTGGAAAACCAGGCACACAAAAATTGTTTTACTTTCCTCTGCTACCCTCCATTAAGGTCTGCTTTTAGGGATAACGGTCCGGAGCCGTGATCAACAAAATGATTTTTTCTTCTGTGTTTGATTTTGCAGCCTCTAAACCAGCTAATTTTTGTGGCACGGAGCAGAACATGTTTGCAGCATACAAAAAAATCTCTTTGACACCCAGATTTATGGCTTCAGGGACTGCACACAACCAGTAGTGACGAGGTCTCATCACAACACATGCCGATTTTGCTCTCTGACTCAGGCAGAGGCCACACCGACATAATTCAAGGAACCATCAGCAATACTTCTGTAACTGGATTTTTAAGCCACGGAATATTGCAACACAAAAAACCAGCGAGGGCTGTTTGTACTCTAATATTGCTGTGTATTCTCCCTCGGCACCGTGCGTGCATTGAGCCCACAGGGTGGAGCAGGAATTGCCTTCTGCTCTCCCTGCCCATCATCCCACACAAAGCTAAGCGGCCTTAAGGCCCCGTTGTCCTACAAAATACTATCAGTGCTGACAGATTCAAGACGATGCCAAAACATAAGATCTTCATCCACAACAACGTTTGCACCACTTATGGTGCAATTTATTAGAAAATAATTCCTTAACGGATTTTTTAAAAAATATATATTTAAATACTGAAAAGTGTGAATGAATGTACCAAACAGTTACAGACTGGGTACATCCACTTCCAGTTCAGTGCTCCATTCTAAGGTTCTATTCACACATTCACCGTGAGCGATGCTACTTTTGCACAGGCCATCGATACGGACGATGCTAATTCTACAAAGTGTAAAACAGGATTAAGGACTGTAACTCTGGGATTATAAACATCACAGAAAAGACTCGGAAAATCTTACCGACAAGGCGGTTATTCAGTACCGATCACGTCAAAAACCCCGTGTGGAGTAGGAAAGCCGTTACGGAGTTCTGCCTTTGAAGGCAGCTCCGTTCCGTTCCCGCAGTCGCTCCCCCAAGGCGCCGCACGGCGAGCTGCCAGCGGACGGAGCGCCGTGCTGCGGTAACACGGAGACGAAGCGCCGGGCTCTTCTTTAAGAAGAGAAGTTACAATTAACTACGTGCGTTACGTAAAGTGACACGTGAGAAACCAGCTTGTGCCACCCGCGACGGGAACTCCTCGCACGGAGCGACACCACACCGAGTATCTCGGGCGGTTCGAGAAACGAGGCGTGCTCGCCGTTCGCTGCTGCGTTGGAGGCGATGTTTGGCTGTGCAGCTTTATCACTGATTGGTTCTTTCCTCCCTGAACGCGCTCCATAATTACCGCAGCGCAGCCGCCCCGCCCGGCCTCCCCGAGCCCGGCGATGGCTCGCAGGACGGTCCGAGAGCCGCTCGCGGTGCCGGGCGGCCGCGCTCCCTCAGGTATGGGCCGTGCTGCCGCGTGCGCGTCCCGCCGTGCGCCTCAGGGCCGCCCCGCCGAGCTCCTGCAGGTCCGCGCCAGCGCGACGCACCGGGCCGCGTCGGTGGAAGCCTCTGCTGCCGTTCCGCTCCGTCGGGTACCGCGTCTCGGCCCTCGGCGTTGCGACCGCCGCGTGCGGCTGGCGGCCCCGGGACGGATGGCGGCGGGCGCAGCGCGGAGCCGAGCCGCGTGTCCGGTTCGCCCCTCGGCCGCGCCGCTCCCCGGGCCGGGCTCATCCCGCGCCCGCTGGTCCCGGGGCGCGCTGACACGTGCTGGGCGCTTCCGGAGCCGCTTTTCCAAACGCAATTCTCTAGGGTCGGGAGGTAATTTTTTTTCCGGTTTCTCCGGCTGGCCTCAGCGCTCAGCTGCCCTTCAGGTGACGGGAACGGCTGCTCGGCGCCCATGCAGGCCAGGTCGGGCGCGCCGTCCCGGGCGCGGTGCCGTTGTGGCGTAGTGCAGCTCAGCGTTTCTGCGCCGTGCCGAGTTTTGTTGCCGTTGTTTTTTTCGCCTTACTCCTTTGAAAGTTGTGGCGCTCGTTAATTTGGAATCCAGCGGGGACTTTGGGCGCCTCGCGCTCAGCTCTCGGCTGTTTAGTTGCACAGCTTACAGGCGCTCACTAAAAAATCTGAGCACCGCACGAAAACTTTTGACGTCTCTCAGCTGCTTTGCAAAAGCAGAAGGCGGTTTCCCCGTCGGGCGGGCAGAGCCCCGGTTCCCGCTTGCCCGCGCGGCCAGACCGCGCAGCGCCCCGCTGGCTCTCGCGCCGTTGGTTTGTGCGCTGCCCGCCGCTCTGCGCGGCCCCAGGCGGGGGAGGGAAGGGAAAGGAAGGGCTCCCTGCTGGCCTTGGACGCTGCCCCCAAAAGCGAGCGCGTCCTCGTGCCGTCGCGTTGCAGCACGGTCAGCGTATCGCAAGAAGCTGCAGAACAGACCGTGCCGAGGCCTTGAAATATCCTGGCTTTTCACTGTTGTTAAACACGGCTAACGAAGCCCTGCCCCCGAACTTCCACTTAACAGAAACAGGGATGAGCTTCCCCAGGTGGGAGCTTGAGGGTATTTAGAATCCTGCTGCTCCTTACTAAAAGCTAATTGAACACGGTTTCCATTTCAGAGACGTCTCATTTTGCAGTGATTGCCCAAACAACGGCGCTCCGGGTCTGTGGTGGATCTGCAGCTGTAAGATCAGTAGGCTGCTTATTTACTGCTGACGCAGCAGCATAGTCAGGTGCACGTAAGCGATGCTAGGAAGGACAGCCAAGCCCAGGTACTGCACAACTCCAGCACTGTAGGGCTGCGGCTGGCATGGCTGGAGAGTTGTTTGTAAGCCTGAGTTTGTTGGCAGCTTTAAAACTTGAAGTGTCTTTGTGAACAGGAAGATGTTTCAGACAGTTTGTGTGTTCTGTGTTCAGAACTGAAGTTTCTGACAAGCCTCAGAGCTTAAATCGTTACTGTCAGATCATCTGTACTTTAATTAGTGCTAATTGGTTTTGTGATTGGCAGGTATCTTAATGAAGCGTAATTAAACTTGTTAGGACACAAGTGTAAGGTGCATCTGGTTCTTATCTGCATTACTGGCTTTCTTCTGAAGTGCCTTGATCACACTGTGGAACCTTTCTTGCTGTTTCAAAACTCAAAATGTTTGGAGTTGTGGGATTTTTTGTTTCTTGTATTTAAAATGGAATCTTGTCCTTAAAATGGATTGATTGTTCCATAAACTTATAGTGCTGGGATGCGTGTAAGTTGCAGTGACCAGAGCCTCGCTGACTTCCTGATTACAGCATCTGGAAGCTGATTTGAGTTTGCTGTGACAGCATTTTGCTCTTTTTGGTGGATCTCTTTGGTTTACTTCATGCACACGTGTGTATATAAGTGAAGTAAAAATAGAGTGAAGTTGTGAAAGAAAATTTCTTCTTAACGTTTATTCGGGGTGTATTATTTTGTCTTCTCTGTCTAGCATGCAGTTCCATCTATAATGCTACATAAGTTGTATTTTCTTCTTGCAGTCAGAGCTGGAGGTGTGAGAGTGTCTAAAAAGCAAGAAGCCATACCTGCTGGGAGAAACGCTGGGCCCAAGGGAAGGGACAAGACAAGGTACTGATCTACAGGGCTCAGACCCCCGGCCCGAGATTACAGGTCATAGGCAACGGGCTGAGGTTAGAAAATAGACAACCGTTTGATTCCGTCGAGCTTAACACTTAAATTAACTTGTGCAATTCATAAATAAAAGGCAAGTTGGGGGCAATTTTGTGCTTAAAAAAAACCAAACTTCCACATGTAAGGAAGATGCCTCACGAAACAATGAAAGGAAAAAAAAAAAGTGGAATATCTGCTCTCTGTGCTATGGAACAGAAATGAAAACATCACTGCCTACCTGTAATTAGCAATTTTCAATTAGTTTCCAATAAAATAAAATGATTTTAGGCTGTCCTGTCTTTCACAAGGATGCCTTGTGCAGGTCCGCGGGAGTTGGTGGTAATGCACAAAAATTGGCTGTGCCTCATGAGCCAGGAGAAATGGGTTTTTGCTGTTTCAGTGACCCGGCTCATGCTTGCCTTTTTTCGTGGCGCATTCTGCCTTACTTTCTGTCACTGATTGCAAGTTGTCTGGGTCCAGTCTTGCTCCTGGCTCTTCCAAAGTCACGGTTACCTGCTGACACACACAGACCTTTCATCCCATGTTCGTCACTGTGGCAAACGATTATCAATCGCTAGATTGAAACTTCAGCAGGGAATTTATCTTGCTGCAGCCACGAATCATTAACTTCACTAAATCAGTACCTCCTTTTTCAAGAGCTACAGTTCAGGTGTCCAGTTCCATCTGTAAGGACTTCATTTTAGGCCACGGAGGTATGAATGCAAATAATGGCATTACCAGAAGAATGTGCAGTCTTGTAGTGCTGAGCTAAGTTATTTCATATCCATTATTTCATATGGTGATGTGGCTGTTCTGCAGTATTAAAATATTAAGAAGTAATAGGGTATTCTTGTACAAGAAGTTATTTCTTGAGAGGTTTTGATGTCAAAAGAAAAACTGCTTCTCCTCCAACCACCCACAGCAGAGCATGAATGCTTCTTGTAGGCTTAGATTAACATAAGGAAAATGGCAGGTCAAGCTTTGCGGGTCTGAATTCCAGTTCTAGAGTTCTGTGAAATTATCCATGGTGCATTAAAAAAAATAACAACCCTTCTTGAAATATTTAATGATATTTGTATATAGGTTTTTCTTTATATATAAATACAAAGGAAACAACGTGGATTTTCCATTTCTCTATTCTGAGACAGCACTTCCCTTTTCATACTCTTGTATTCTTTACTGTGATTAAGGGATTTGGCTCCAGAACCTGAATTTCTATTACAAAATATTTTGTGTTAAGAAGTCTGAAAAACAGTTGTCAGTGTTTTTGCAAGTTAGAGATGCTAACTACTATTTTTTTTCTCTTTTGCAGTGTTGTCAGTATTTCAAAAATCCATCACATGGATGTCATGCTGCGCAAAGTAAGTAGGCCTGGAAGAACAGGATGTGTGTTTGTCAGGACCTCTCCATGAAGCTGAAGATAGAATGTCAGAAAGTGAATTTTCCTTAAATTGCTGTTGCCTGATGTTTGTAGGTTTGCCATCTGCTGCTGGACATTCCTGAGATGATCTGTTATGTCAGAAGTGTGTGGCTTACATGTAACTAGTTGTCTTCTCTGCTATGATTCCACTGCTATTTAATGTTGAATAAGTAGACATGGAGTTGCTGTGTGCACCCCTTATAGAAAGGCACTGCGAGATATCAAGATGTGTGGGTTTTCTAAGGTGGTACATTGCAAATTTATTGAAATGTGGGCAAAAAATAACAGTGACATAATAAGTTGTTCTGGCTTTAACCCCAGCTCTGCCAAAAAGAAAACCCACAGTCCTCAGCATCGCCCAACTATAGAAATAGCTTTAGCTTTAAAGGTTCAACTTGGCAAAGAGAAGAGAGCGCTTAGAAAGAAGTGAGTAATGTTGATGAGAAGTGCATTGCTGGTGAGCTAATGTAAAACTGCAGGTCGTTGAGGTCACAGGGGCAGCGTGTTCCACCGTTGATCTGTATGCAGTTATGTCACTCGAGGCCTGGTGCTCATTTTCTTGATTTCTCTCTTGGAAAGACTGTGAGGTTGTACTGTGTGTATATAAATTTGTGTCACAAATCTATTGATGGACTCTTCATTATAATGGCTCTGCCGTTAGGTGCTGTCTTGTAACTCTCACTCGGTTGATACAGTCTTATCCTTACACACTGCAAAAGCTGTTTAACGAGCTGCTTTTTAATTTGCATGCTAATCAGAAAACCTGACAGCTCTCATCTATTTTTCATACATATGTGATCTTTAGATTGTGAAACATACAAGGGCTTCCTCATCTGTAGAGCTTGGTTAAAAAAAACCAAACCATCGGTCGCATTTCAACATGAGCCTTTCATCAACAGATGGGATCAAAGCTTTGCTATGTAGATCTTGAAATTTGGCTTAGACCTATTTGCTAAGGTGAATAGTTACATCGTCCTGTTTTTCTTCTCCTTCCGATCTCCTCTGCTCTTAACCAGCACTTTCTTCTCCAGCTGGCTCCTAGACTCTCGTACATAAAGCTCAGGACTAAGTTTAGAAAGTAACAATTAAATACGACAGTGATGGTTGTTGGAATCAGAAAGTAAGAATTTGAAGCAGCCTACTGTTAGCTGTGGGATACAGTTTTTGCTCTGCTTTCTGTATCTTAGCAAACGATCTTGTGAACAACTGGGAAAAAATATGAAAAAAATCAGTCACACAGTCATGCTGATGTTCTGTTTTTAAACCAGGGATTATTAATTGTGCAGTCTCTGAGTTGTGATGTGTTGATCACTTGAACTTTTTAGATTTAGGTTTTACTATGTTCTTTAGCCTGCTTTCATGTGATCAAATTTAGAAAGCGAACAGTGGAAAAGCTGTGTTTCATTACAACTTATTTTCCCCACTTTTAATGTTACAGATAAGCCACAATATCCCTGCAGCAGCGTTACAAGTTGCTCACCAAAAGCCACTGCCTGCCTTGGAGAAGTTCATGCTGCCTAAAAGAATTTATATTATTCAACAGCCACGGAAATGTTAAGACATGCCTTTAAGAAAACAAAAAAACCAAAAAGCCCACCACGTTCACTTGGAAGCAAATTTCTATTCTAAATAGCTTGTAGCATACTGGTAAAAGGATCAAAAGCTTGGCTGCCTTGTTATCCCACTGCATTTCTGTTGGTGACAATAAAATACTTTCTAAAGAGAGTTACTGGGGTTGTATTGAAATGTCATGGCTCTGTCTAATCTCATTTTGCTGGTGTTTGGTCGTTGCTCGGTGCTGAGAAGTCCAGCAGCCTCACCTGCCCTGGGAGTTTTCACTGAAAACTGCCCACCCTCTTTTCAGTAATATTTCCTGTTTTGTTTTTTTTAATGTACTGATAGCAAAGCTGAATGTGATCCTGAGCAAGGTCACAGCTGGAAGATGTTCCCTGATAGAGTTTACAACAACTGTAAATGATCTCAAATGCTTCTTAAAAGCCAAACTGCCTGATGTGTTGACCTTGATGTTTGTTTTGATCTTTTTGCAATTATTTTTTTTTATGATTTAGGCTGAGGGGTTCCATGCTGATTTTTGTTTCAAGTTCAATCTTAGGAAACTTCAGAAGGAAGTATCCTTGAACCTTGCCTGCTTATACTGTCAGCAGAGACAATAAAATAGTCCGAGTCCTGCAGAGGATAACTGTAGTCTGCTGCTGGTTGGTTGGTTGGGCAGCTCAGCCTTTTACTGCTCTGAATTTAGCTCTGCTGGGATCTTTTCTTTAAGGTAGCAATTGCAGATAAATATGCCACTAAAATTACAGTAAAGCAGTCCAAATAGACTTCCTGAGTATATAAAATTATGTTTAGAATTACATTAGTCTTGTCACTGAGACTTCTTTTGATGGTGTGCTTTGCATGTGACTGCAGCAGAAATCACTCCATTGCAGAGGGATCCCTGATGGGCTGCCCAGCATCAGCAGCACCACTTAACGGGAGTGTCTGCTTCACCTTACTTGTCCATGAAAGGTAAATAACTTTATGTTGATTAGAGATTCAGTTGTGATTGCAGTAGGCGGTGATTAGAGTAGTTATGTGCACTAAGTAATGCAGCTGCATCCTCAGCAAGTAGGACAAATTCAGATATCGGTGCTCCTGTGTAGAAGGCTGTTTGTTCTCTCATGGTCCTTCTGTGGCTGACTGGCTGTAAGATATTGCTGTTAGCCTGGACAGCAGCAGCGGTGCACTGTGTGGGTATTTAAGCTGCAGGTACAGGACTTGGAAAACAGGTAGTTCTGCCTTTCTGTCACACAGCTCGTTCTTCTGCTTCCGAGGCTGGTTGCATGTGGAAATGAACATAAAAGGTTTGAGTTAGAGAAGTCCAGTGTGTGGCATTATCTGTGCTGTCGTGGCCAAGAGCAGCACAGCGGGCTCCAGCGTGTCGGCTGATACGTGTCAGTTCCCAACGGAATGAATGCCAGCATGTTCTTTATTCTAATCTTTATTTTTTCTGAAGAAAAAGTAGTGGCTGGTGAAAATACATTGGGATTCTAAAGGCTGCTATGGAGGTTTTCCTCTCAAGTAATCACTTTCTGAAAACTTATTCTGGCCAAGGATTTTGTGACAAATGAGATCATTTTAGGAAAAACATTTTCTTCTCTTGGATTACACCTGTCAGCCCCCGCCAGTTAACTGGGCACCTTGTTGTTCTGGGTTGTGTTTAACATAAGCCTGAGCAGAGAATCCATCCAAGCATCTTCTCCTACTGCCTTCCTGGGGTGGTGCATATCCTGGCACATGCAGGAATCTGTGGGAAGATATACCCTGTTCAGAGGAGCTATTCAAATAGCTTGGGAACAGAGATCTGGAATCCCTGGTTCTGTCCTGCACCCTTAGGGTGATGCAAACATCACAGTCCTAGCTGTGTGCAGATCATGCAGCAGAATTCCAGTCTGGTATTGCAGTGCTTCATTGCTGCAGTTGTATAAACACCTGTGTTGTGATGCAGCATTAACTGTCACTGCTGTGACCGTCAGTAAACAAAAGGATCTGACTGCACTTCTATTTGTTCCACGTTGGATTTTTTCAGCCTGTTTTCCAATGAACATTATCTAAACAGTTTAAAATATTATGTTCCAGATTAAGATGGTATGCTCAATGTTAAAGATAGCTGTAGGAAGTGAATTGATTGACATAGATCCAAATTTCCAGGTAGAAGAAGGTATTAACAAGAAACCAGAAGGCCTAACTTTGATAAGCTCAGATTATTAGTTGTACTAAATGTAGGGCAGGTGCAGGCTGCTCTTTTGCTCTAATACACTTCTTGCAGAGTAAGAAATCCTGACAACTGATGTACCTCACTCCTGTTCTGCCAGAAATGTCCCCCGTGCCTTTACTACAGGTAGCCTTTCGTGTTTGTTTTCTGGCTTTGCAGCAAACCTGAAAGTATATAGAGAATAAACTCTTCTGCTTACATGCTGTATGATTAAGAACACCCCCTTTTCAGCTGAGTCGGTCTTTTACTTTACTGTGGTATTTTTACAAGTGCATTGTCAGGTACATTGTTTTTTTTCTTAAATTATTTCCATTTATTAAGGTGTTTTAGGAGAATTCTTAATAAGAAACAAACACCTTAAAAATATATATTTCAAACTTTTAATAGATTCAACTTAGTTTTCCATCCTGCTACAATTAATCAGCTTTGCCTTCTGTTTAGGTACTTTTATTTAGATCTAGACTTGATACATTATTTTGCCATGATTATTTTAGCATCAACTACAGCTAAATCCAGAGTATAAGCAGCAGATGAAGTTGGTTTGCTGGAAGTGATGAAAGCCTTGCAAGAAGCCTGTTTTCTTCAAAATTATTGCAAATGATGCAGGCACTTGACAAGAATGGCATGGTTTCAGGATACATGTTCCTCTGTTGAGCTTCTTGATGAAAACAGTGTGGGTTCATATGCTGTTATGTTTTGCCTGTAGACTTCAAAATGGCCTAGAGATGGGAGTGGCTGAAGCCAAGTGGCAATGGAAACCACAGAATTCTATAAATGCTGGTTGGTTTTAAGGTCTTCAAAATATTTTTAAATTTGATAGTGTCATGCATTCTGTTTGAAGGCTTAAATAAAGCGTGTTTCCCTGGATAGGGATGAATTTCTTGAGCAAGGATGAGTCTCTACCTCTTAGCACCTGTTCTTCCTGCTTGTGAGAAACTCGACAGAGCTACTTGAATTTGGAGGTGTGAAACTTCAGCTGTTCTGGAGTGAATTATTGCACTATTCAGTGTACAGACTTAAATCTGAATTGATTGTACATATTTCTGATTTTTGTGCAAAGTCATGCAGCAGGCGAAATGACAAACAAAATGGGTCTAATCTGGAAACCTACAACACAAGGGAGCTGTAACAAAAGCCTATTTAAAACATGTCTTCCTTCCAAGGACAGACTTACTCAGTCTGTTCCTCTCCACACAGTACACACAGATTTGCCAGAATCCTTGCTCATTAACCTTTCCTTGCTGCACAAAACCCAATTTTGATAACTGATGCACACGTTTGCATTTATTGAATTCCTCTTTACCTTCAGTGGTAGAGGGAAGAGTACGTTTCTGGATTGTGGGAATTCCTTGGACGAATCAGTGTTGTCTGTGGTACTGTGTGCACAACTCCTAAAGTGGGTTCACAGTAAACAGTCTTTTGTTTTGGAACTGTCCCTGATGACTGTGGTTTCAACACAGTCATAACACCAAGCTGGCAGGAAGCATCGATCTGCTTGGGGGTAGGAAGGCCCTGCAGATGTGGACAGCTGGGCCGAGGCCACTGGGTGAAGTTCAGCAAGTCCAAGGGCTGCGTCCTGTGCTTTGGCTGCAGCAACCCCAGGCAGCGCTGCAGGTGTGGGGCAGAGTGGCTGCAGGGCTGCCCAGGGTGTCGGTCAGTGCTGGGCTGAGCGTGAGCCAGCAGTGCGCCCAGGTCACCAAGAAGGCCAACGACGTCCTGGCTGTATGAGAAACAGCGCAGCCAGCAGGAGCAGGGAAGTACCGAGTCTGAGCACTGTGTTCAGTTTTGGGCCCCTCACTGCAAGAGAGACACTGAGGCCCCGCAGTGTGTTCGGAGAAGGGCAATGAAGCTGGCGAGGGTTGGAGCACGGGCCTTACAGGGAGCGGCTGGGGGAGCTGGGATTGTTGAGTCTGGAGAAGCGGAGGCTCAGGCGTGACCTTACTGCTCTCTGCAGTGACCTGCAGGGTGGCTGTGGTGAGGTGGTGGTCGGCTTCTCCAACAGGCACAGCAATAGGACTGCAGGGAACGGCTGCGAGCTGCGCCGGAGGTTGGGTTGGATGTTAGGAAGCAGTTCTCTGAGAGAGCGCTCAGGCACCGATGGGCTGCCCAGGAGGCAGTGGAGTTTCCAGCCCTAGAGGAGTTCAAGAAGCATTCAGATGTTGTACTAAGGGATGTGGCTTAGCAGGAGCTGCTGGTGATAGGGGGTGGTTGGACAGGGTGATCTGGAGGTCTTCTCCAACCTTCAGCATTCGGCCGACTGCGCCATTGAACCAGGCTTGGACTCGGCAATTGTTTCCAGTCTTTTTCAGCTATTCTGCGCTGTAAGGTGTTTTGGCTGCCCTTTTTATTAGTCACTGTTTTCCCTCTCTTTGACAAAACCATGGAGAGAATGATTCAACCTGATAATGAACATCTTTACTCTTCTTGTCAAACTTGGCTGCAGACGCAGTGCTGCGCATTATTCCACTCTTTCTGGATTTTGATGGGAAGCTGCTGGGTAGAGTTATGCCAGACAAATTTCTGTTAATTCCTTTTGTAACAGATTACCAACTTTAAGTTCATTGAAGAGATGGATAAAATTGCAAAGTCCGAATATTTCCTACCTTCCAGCTTTCCTAGTTTGCTAACACGCAAGATGCAGTGCAGGTTTTGCAATCGTATCCAAGAATTTCAGAAGCCTCAGTAGTTCGTATGAGCACACCAATCTGCCACAAGAGGTAGCAGTGTCTGCATCTTAACTCAGGTTCAGCCAGCTAAGCCAGCTCCTGGAGACAGCTTATAGCATGGGAGAGCAGATATTTAGCCTGCAAAAAAACTGTTGAAATAGTTTCAAAGAAAAATAATAGATTAATTTCTGAAATCATCATTTGCTATTTTACAGAGGACTCTAGAAGCTGTAGAGATATGAAAGGTGTAACAGTTGCTAAATGGTTCCTTTTCCTCCCTACCTTCT